AATAAATATAATCAGTAATCCTTTTTAAATTTTTATTATTTTTTTAATTTAAAAAATCACTGACATATTATCTTTTATTTTTAATTAAAATACATTTCATCAATAATCTTTTTTAAATTTAAGTATTTTTTTGTTATATTTGTTTCATTTTATATAATACAAGTATTTTTTTGGTTCAAAAAATGTTTAGGGACTTTATCGCTCAAAATATGAATGTTTATTGGCTTTTTTTTCATTCTTTTTCCATTATTTTACTGCGTTAATTAGTTTTATAGGTCATAAGGATGTATTTAACAAGTTTTAGAAAGTCTAAGGAGTTGTTTAACAGGTTTTGGAATGTCCAAGGACTTATTTGTTCCAAAAAATTGTCCAAGAACTTAATCATTTCAAACACTAAAGTTCATTGGGTTTTTTTAGACTTTTTCCATAATTTAAAATAATAACTTGTAATGAAACTAACGATATAATTACCAAAGAGCCTTTAGTCTAGCGGTATCGTAGTCTTTCATCTCCTAGGAGGTAGAGATTCAAACCTCATCAAAAGTGAGTAGGGTGTGTGAGTTTATTTGTTGCATTTGCCCTATATAATATATAATATTATATACTTCAAAAAAAAACTTATGCTATGATTGGAATTTTTCAACCGCTGTAAATTAGTATTAAGTCTGATCGATATGGGACTCCAAGTTAGACGGGTACAAATTGTCTCATAGCTCTAAGAGGGAGTTAGAAAGGTGAGGGTCACGGCGATTATAAATTTTCCCAAAGTGTTAGTAGACCATGATTTTGATACTATATGAAAATACGCTTAACCCTCCAAAGTGCTTTTCAGAAATAACCGATGAGAAGAGAAAAAAAGTTCCAACATATATATTATAGGTTAAATAATCCAAATCTAACAGATATGAGATTACGAGAATACAACAAATGGCCCTCGGTTACGACCCAATCCATATTTCGTTAGTACCGTGGCGTGGCTTGTGGGATAATTGTTGATTTGTGAACCATACTCGAATAGTCCAATGGGATAAGCCCAACCCGAGAATGTAAGGCCCAAAGCCCAAGAACTTGAAATAGACTCAAAACCTTTTTCTTTGAACAAAGATAGTCACAAACTTTAAAAACGTTATAAAACTGATTTTGAATAGCAAAATATGTGACTCTTTTTTTTTATTAACCTGGATATCCAACCCGCTATGCGAACCGAGTAATCCTAGGGCGACCACCTGCTTTGCAGATAGCCCAAAGTCACCGCATTTGAACCTCCGTGGTCACAAGAGAATTTTTATTCTTTCTTGGATTTGAACATAGGATCTCCTGGTACTTTTAACCTTTGCAGCCAAGCTCAAATCAATCAAGCACCACCCTTATGGTTAATATGTGATCTTTATCGACATATTAGAGCGTTTGGTTTGATGGAATTATTTGAAAGGATATGAATTTTGTAGAAGGATTTAGAATTGAAAGGATTTAAAATGTTTGATGCGTTTGGTTTTTATGATTTGAAATGGAATTAAACTGAATTCTATTCTTTTCAAATAATTTGTAAAAAAATTATAAAAATAATTAAATTACGGTATTTTTAATTGATTACTGAAATACAAACGTTTTTTTTTTAACATATTTTAAGAAATTATTATACATAAATCCTTCAAAATCCTTTGAAATTCAAACCACCTATGAAATTTCAAAATCCTATGTTTGAGAGAATTCAATGAAATCCTAATATTACAAACCCACTAAATCCTACAAACCGAACATGAAATTAGAATTAAATTCAATTCCAGATCTCTGCAAATCCAATCTAATCATACAAACCAAACGGGATATTTGGTAATTTTCAATATCGAATTTGTAATCCTAATGAAAATCAAAACAAATTTTGGACCGTAAAACATTAAGGGGCCGTTTACCAAACACTTACCTAGTAAGTGCTTACCGACAAAATTTAACACTATCGACTGATTGGGTAAGATTTTAGTCCACCAAAACGGTATCGAATGGAACAATTTATAAACATATTCATGTAACTCCTCCAGCATAAGTGAATGTATTATGATCCAATGGTGTATTAGAATTGTTTCCAAATGGGTACTTGTAATAGAAAAACTCTACAACATCAATGATGATATGTAAAAATAACTCCATTAGCGCTTAGAAAAATCAATATTCCGGCATAACCAACACCAAGATTCCGGTCAAGTTGGGAGTAAGGTTCAAAAAGTTGGCTCAGGTGATTTAGGTTAAAATTCCAAACCAATGATGAAAAC